CAGGAATGCGTTCAACATAGCGGGCAGCAATCAGCTTCTGCAGAGAATCTCTCACGACATCTGAACCCATTCCATTTTCTGCAATATGACATGTAAGTAAACGTATGTTGGTGTCAATTCTATCTTAAGCATTTTCATGACAAAAATTACGTTCTATCTCAAGTCCAGAACATGAGAATGGAAAATGCTAATCGAGGGAAATAACATATCTATAAAAATAACAGGGAATCCATATGCTGCAGAAGTATATCCTTTTCTGTTTGCTTATCAGGTTCCCAAGACTAACATATGAGCCACAGAAGAAAAAGGGACTCACCTCCATCTCTTTCTACCAGTTGACCTAGGGTAAGCCTGCCATTACTGAGCAAACCTTCAAGAACTTCTCCACACTACAAAAATAATATCCAACATTAGGAATGTACATATTCCAACTTCAAACTAATCCCTTTAGATTGCAACCAGCTACATAAAACATTAAAACAAACAGAAGAGCCAGGAGCAAACCTGTTGCCCCAGTTCTTCTTTCACAATCTTCATAAACTTGTTATACCTCATACGGTGAAGTATGTTACTAAACATCACAATGAATTGTGCAGTAATTTTGGCCTCATTCCCAGCGGCACCTACATGTCACAGTCATACAAAAGAACACTCATGATTTCTCCCACAACTTTGATGGCTACTAAAAGATTATTGGAGGGTTAGAAGAACTACAGGACAAACATTCAACTTCTTGAAAGCCAAAGAGAAACAAGTGCATCACTGTTTTCTCTTCTAAATAGACAACAACAGCAACAGATGTCTCTCAATCTCCACAAATGAACAAGGTAGAGAAACATAAGATGCTCTCACAGACAAGGATGAAACCCTTCATCCATGAGGATTATGAAAATTTTCGAAAGAATTGACACAAGAACAGCATTACCATATTCAGCAGCAATCCCAATTTTTGAAGAACCAAACAGAAAGAATCCTAAGGGAGCTAATTCGTTTTCAACATAAGAGAGTTCCTATAACCGAATCGAACCGAACCGAAGTTTATATAAAAACCGAATGGTTATAGTTTTTCTAAAACCGAAATAACCACACCCGAATATAACTGAACCGAACCCGAACCGAAACCCGAAATGGCCACCCCTAGTTGTTGTAACTGGGATTGGAACTCGAAATTCTGCGTAAGAGGGATGACAGCATCACAAAGCCACAGCGATAGCATACAGTTTTGCACCAAATTCCACAAGAAAGATCCAAAAGGCAATAAAATTGTAAAATCCTAAACAAGAAAATCTGATTCAAAACACAGTATCCTCGATCACAGCGCCAAAACCAAACCTCTAACCACCGAGAAGCAATAACTCAAATTCCTCAACAAAGAACCAGATGACTATAAAGTTGTGTGACTGTGACCCTAAACCCGAAAATCTGATTTTGCAACGAAACGTACGAAAATATCGACAAAGTTCCAAGGTTTACCAGGCTGCTCAACAGCAAACGCTTGAACGCAGTTGTGTTGGATTAAGAGGTACAAGATGTCCTTCACTTGGTTATGGTTGACCTCTGTGAAACGGGAGATGTCTCTGGCCGTAAGCGCTCCCTTCCTAAGAAGACATTCGCACACTTTCTGCAAGGAAAAAAAAAATCAAATCAATCCGCAAACATACATTAGAAAAAGGGAAGAGAACAAGAAATGTAATAGATAGGGTTTAGGGTTTAAGTTACAGCTACGACGGAGCCAAACTGAACAGTGACGATGTGGACGGCGTAGACGATGCCGTATTCAGTCACCGCCATGGTTGTCATCTTCCTCCTTCTGCAAACACAAAGCAAAAAGAAAGATAGTTCAAAGCTATGGGAGACCAAAACGCATCCAGAAAAGCATGTCCTGTAGATTCACCCAAACTAAACCGATTTAAGAATTGCTACATCAGCATTGAATCAATCGAAACCCAGAAACCCATGAAGAAGTAAAGCCAGAAAAACGAGACAAACATCAAACAATGATACAGGAATTTGCATCGAATCCAAACCAACGACAGAGGACAGAAATTGATAAGAAGAAAGGGGACAAAAGAAGATGGAGGAGGATGAGGATGAGGACACTCACCGGAGATTGCGACGGCGACGGCGACGAGAGAGGCTTAGGTTTCACGTGAACGAATGGTTTTTCAGAAGTTGAGCGGTTGGAGACTTGGAGCGGAGGCTGTAGGGGTATTTCGGTAATTGTGCCTCAAGAACACTTTCCATTTTTTTTCCTAAAAGAAATTGTCGTTCTCTCTCTCTCTCTCTATTTTTTTTTTTGTTAATGGTCGTTCTGTCTTTTATAAACGCCGAGTTGGAGTCGGACCAAAGCGACGGGCAGAGAGGAAATGGTGTCACGAAGATTCCTACTCCGCCACGAAGACTCGACCTTCGACGTCGACTACGACACTGAAGATGGCCTCGAGGTCGCTCTCTTTCTCTCTCTCCACATACATTTATGTATCGTCGTCTCCGACTTGCTGTGATCTTGTCGTTGAACGGGTGCTCCTAAGTTGATCTGCAGGTTTTCCGGTTCCAAATATTCTCCCTGACTTCAGTTCCTCCTTATGAGCAGAAGGTACTCTTTTTCCGGTTTTTTGCCCCGAAATTTGTGTCTGGGTCGATCGATGGAATCTCTTATTACGTTTGGTGTCGAATTTTGGGAGCTAGATTGTTGCGGAAGAAGGTGATCGAGTCGTATTGGGTGATTCCGATCTCGTTTCTGTTTCGGAGAAACTGCGTTTGGTGTCGGTCGAAGTAAATTGTGAGGAGAATTTGGAAGGAAATGTGGATAGCTGTGAGAAATCAAATGCCGAAATGGTCAAATTAGATGAAGAATTTGCGCGAATGTTGCAGGTATCAGTCTACATTTGTGTCAAATTTGTTGAGATTCAGAGGCATCTGTCAAAGGTTAATTCTTTGTTGGTGGTGATTTTGAATATGAAATTGAAGTCAATTTGGGTTCTTTCTCTGTTTTTCCTCTATAAGGCTGAAGAAGAAGCTCTGTTGCTCCAACAGTATGTAGCAGCACAAGATAGCAGCGAATTTGAACGGAGGATAAGACCTTACGTTGGCCAAGTTCTCATGGTGATCACTGTTCAGAATATGTTGCATTTCTGCTCATTTATTATGTTAGAATCTGGAGAGATCTGTTTATATTTTCACATATTATTGAAATTGTTACGTCAGTATGAAGATCCAGCGCGTCAAGAAGCTGCACGAAAGACTGTTCCTGTAGAGGAGTTGGAGGAGAAAGCTATCGTGGCTTTGGCCAAGGTGAGAGCTTCTTTTTCCTCATTTATAATATGTAGACTTAGCACAATGACCATAACTGAATGAAGCAACAGGCTTATTGATGATGGAAATTTCTGTTAAACAGGGTGATTATAATAGATGTCGAATTTTGATGGTTCCATGTTACTGATATGTTATAATCTTGCCAGCCATTACCTGAAACATGCTCAAGTTGGCATGATAATCAATTTGGTACTAATAGCCTGAGCCTAAACCAGTTATATTCTCTGGGGTTATTTGTGGTGAGTTTTTTTGGATGGTTAGAGTTAAAGATGTAAGCACTAAGCATCATGCAATATAGTAGAACTAAGAGGCTAACATTCTGAGACTGGTTTAGACTGAGTATGGTAGGGACTTGGGAAGATATATTCTTCGCTTCGGTGAAGTTATAATTTTGTATTTCACTACCTAAGTTATTATATGTGATCGACATTGATGAGGTGGTAGCTTGCTCAAACTGAATTACATATATAGATATAGCCTTCTCATGGCTGCTGTAGTTGGGAGAGTAAATTTCTTAGATATGTAAAACAATTCCTTGAGCTTTAGGTTTTCAATGATATTTCATCTGATCCAAGCTTTTGGCATACATTTAGGAGGGGAATTTTAAGCCTTCAAAAGAGGAACATGACTATACTTTCCTGCTTCAGCTACTTTTCTGGTTCAAAAAAACTTTCAGGTATTTTCTTTACTTCTTTGTTCTTCTCCTATAGGAGTTCTTTTCACACTTTGATGCTAACTGAGATAAGTGTAAAATTGAAAACCCAAAACGAGAAAATAACTTTCGCACTAACTTCGGTTTATGTTTTGAGACTAAAGTGAGCTATTACTTCTGGTGTTGAAACTTTGGTGGACTATAGAAGTGAAGAGAAAACTTTCCTATCATCTATGTATATTTTTTTGGGTATTACCCTTATTTGTTCCTTTTTTGCAAATTGCCGTGGTAGCCAAAGATACATATCTCTGAGATACTGGCGTGATAATATCTGGAAACTTCTTTTTTCCAATAATTGGCTGGTGGTAGTGCAGGTGGGTCAATGAACCTCCTTGTGATGGTTGTGGTAGCAAAACCGTAGGCCAGGGGATGGGAAATCCACTTCCCTCGGAGCTTGCTTATGGAGCAAATCGAGTTGAACTTTATCGGTATGTATTTCACATTTCTTTATAGTTTTCTTTTATGCAGGAAATGCAGTTTGCTATTTGGCTTTTCTCTGTTGCAAATACTAAAATTTTCTAGTTATCTTCAGATATGATTGAGGAATGAATCTTTAACTCATTACAGTTACTACTATAATTCTGTTTCTCATGGACTTTTTCTGGTGAGTTTGATGGATGCATTAGATGCTCGAAAAAGCCTAATCACTCACAATGTCACATTATCTATCTAATGTATTGACTTGCTTAAAGTTGAGCTGTCAGTTGATGTCCTGTTCCCTTTTTGTGTTAATCTTTGAACCGAAATTAGTTCTTTTCTTTTGCCATTGTGATATCTACAGCTGTACCTTTTGTTCAAGAATTACACGATTCCCTCGGTACAATGATCCAGTGAAGGTATATGAATTGTACACACGAAGATACGTCATTGATTTCATTGCTGGGTTTAATAGCCCTTTCTTTGTCATGTAGCTTTTAGAAACGAGAAAAGGGCGCTGTGGGGAGTGGGCCAACTGCTTTACACTATACTGTCGCTCATTTGGCTATGCAACTCGTTTGGTTGGTATCATTCCAGAATTTATTCTGCTAGCATTTATTCTGATGTTCAAGATCTTTCCTTGAACTTTTGCGCATTTGTTTCTCCAATCGGGATCTCTGGTAAATTGAACTAGAATCTTGTTTGGTTGGCTTCCCTCATGGCTAATGCTAGAGACATCTATTTTCACCCAGCTGAGTGAGATTTTGTTGGAAAGAATTAGATGCCTTGAGATGTTATTGCATGTTGGTATCAAAACAAGAGGGTAACCTAATACTCAGTGCACAGTTTGATGGCCGATTTGCTTTGCATCAGTGGATACAAAGTGATGGTTTTTGAATATCAAAGAAAAAGGATTGCACTATGTACAATGCCTAATAATGTGTTTCTGAAACTCCTCTTTTTCCATTTCCAGATACTGGATTTCACAGATCATGTCTGGACTGAATGTTTCTCACACTCATTTGGAAGGTAAGCTTCTTATGCAAAAGAAAGGTTCCGTTGCAGAGAATTATATCCACGAAACAAATCAGAGAAGAATTTTTTATGCTGCAGATGGATCCACCTGGATCCATGTGAAGGAGTGTATGATAAACCCTTACTATATGAGAAAGGGTAAGTTTCTCAAGCTTATCTCATCTCTCCTGTGTTTCGCTTTTCACTTTGATCTATCCCCATGGGGGTTGTCCATAATCATATTAAATCTTTTTCATGTAGATGGAACAAAAAGTTGAACTATGTAATTGGAATTGCGAGAGACGGGGTTTATGATGTCACTAAGCGCTACACAAAAAAGTGGCACGAGGTAATGCTATTTGAAAAGCAGTGAATGTGCCAATCAACTTTAATTCCTGCCAGCAAGCTCCAATAATGTCTCAGAATTACATTCAGTTCAGTTGATCTAAGTTGTCTGATGTTGTTTCCTTCTTCAGATTTTAACTAGACGGACAATCACAACTGAATCATCTTCCCAAGCTGTTCTGCGGACCCTGACAAGAGAATTGCGCATTAGTTTTACACCTCATGTTCTATCTTCTCTTGAACTCAGAGACAGCAATGAGCAGGAAGAGCTTGAGAGAGACCTTCATTCCCCAGATGATGCCTCGGTTTCTTTACCTGGAAGGCAGAGTGGTGACAAGGGATGGCGCATTTTGAGATCAGAGTTTGGTTCGGACGAAAATTCCTCTGTCAGCTCTACCTCTTGCCCGGTTCGTATATGTGTTGACGACCATGTGACAAAGCTTTATGATTCTTTCTCGACTATCCTTACTCAATTCGTCGAGGATTCTTTGCCTACACCAAGAGCGATTGAGCTACTTCAGATCGTCAAGGGAACCCTAGTGGATCTCAAGAGTACATCTTACAAAACAAGGAAGGCTCGTCTGAATTTAGGTTCAGATGGCTCGAGTTCATTTCCGAAGCAGTATTTGCCTTCATTAGACAAGTTGCTTCATGCTCTTTCATTAAAGGGCAAGAGTGACACAGACGATAAAGGCCTGGCCATATATTTGGACGGTGAACCGACGAAAACTTCCTTAGCGCTACCGGTTGCATTGGACGCATTGGAAGAACTAAGCCGTGACCTCGGCAAATGCCAGAACTTAAACAAAGAGTCTCTCTCTCTTCCACTTGTGAAACGAAACAGAGTATGTTTAGGTTCTGTCCTAGCAAGTGGGGAAGAGCTTCCTTCTGGTATTGTAAGTATTAAGACATCACTCATCACATATGCTCCTCCATCATTAAGAAAGGTTTGTAAGACATCATTCCTACACAATTGTCTCAGGCAAGCTCAGCATTCGACGGGATCCGTGACTCCAAATGGGAAGAACCAAACGGTGCGAAAGGTATGTTGTAAAAAGAATTCAATTTCTCCGAGCCGATTCCAATGTTTGGTTGTACATTTTTTTTTATTTACAGAAACGCGTTTTTGGTTTATAGGTTGTTGGATCATGTACAAGACGTTGGACAACAAGATGGAAGAAGTTGCAGAATATGAGCTCATGTCTGCAAATGATGCCCCAGAAAGAGACCCAAAAGATTGGTACTTTTCTACCCCTTTTGAGCTCCAACGTTTCAGATATGCAATTTGGGTTTGGATTGATTTGTAGTTTTACCTGATTCCGCATTAAGAGCTGAGTTTTTTTCAAGCGTTGGAACAATGCCCATATGGTATTATCTTTCTGTACTTGCTGTTGTTTTGCAGGATTCTTGAAGGAAGCAGCGATGGGGGATCCACGTGGCGTGTTCTAGACGAGCAAACTTCCCAAGTATTCGAAGCCCGTTTCCAACGCAACTCCTACAGAATAAAGCCGACGACTGTCTTCCAAGCAAATCTTTTCAGGTTCCGACAGTGTTTCCTCCTCTCGGGGGCTTCGAGATGATTTCAGCTTTCTAACGTTGTACGTCGTATGTTTTCTGTTGCAGGTTCAGGTTTCTGGCAGTACGAGACGTAAGCTCCACCTCCCGCCTACAGTTAGGTAGCATCGATCTCTACAAATCTTGAACCCAAAAAGAAAAACAAACAAAAAGTACATGAAAGCGGTACAACCGCATCGATGTTGTTGTATTGTAACTACGTTGCCATCATCATTCATATCCTTATCCTGTGTCTAACTGTTGTTTGTACTCTGCAAGCCTTTTAAGGGATTCTTTCTGTGCCCACCAAAAAAAAAACTTTTTTTGTAACGCGTTCAGTGAAACAAACATAAAGAGTGCCTCAACACAATGAGAACCCCATATTTGATCATTCCATTGGTTCAAAGGGATTGAATGTATAAAAAGAGCCTCTCTCTCTCTCTCTCTCTCTCTCTCCCTCTCCCTCTTGTTAGATGGAAAGAAGCTTTTAATGATCCTCCACCTTTTTCAGGCCCTTCATGTCAGTCGTCTCCACCCTGTATTTCCCACATTAATAAGATTACATTCCCCTTTGCATAATATATATGTGGAGAAATGTCTTATGTGCACAAGATGATAACTTGTCTTATAGCCAAAGGATCATCCCTAAACTGATTTCTACCAGACGTGATATATTTCAACAAGTTCATGAATCAGCTGTTCAGATTTCTTGAATAAAATGTTTTTTTAAGATTTTGGAGACTTACGTTGTCCCGTAGAGTGCGATTTTCTGAACTTTTGTGACCTCCGAACCTGACTGGTTGTCTTCAATGAATATCGTCAAGCTGGACGAAACACATATATACATGCAGTTCAGGCAGGCCCTAACGCCACCCATATGAATAAATTTACAAAATACAGAGAAGGTAAACCTACCTCCGAACATTCTGAAACTTGACATATTTAAGGATAACCGGCTTTCCCTGCACAGAAAGATCGATTAGAAACATCACGACGTATTGCTAAAAGCTGATGTTAAAAGATAGAATTTTGTTCTAGATATTATGCGCAAAAGAGTCAAACCTAAAGCAGAACGTATACCTTGAGGTTATCTTCAGATAGCTCGGCAAAGTCACTCGGAAGGTAGTCGTTGACATTGCTGTTATGTATGATAAACCACCACAAATTCCAGTTTATTGCAGAAAAGAAGGTAAATTCGATACACAAAAGGGCGTTTTTCACCTTACCTGAATCCCATGTTCTCCTTGTTCGAGAAGAGTTTCACAGTCTTCGGACCTGAAGAGAGCAAAAACCGAATCTCAGAATCCTCGCATGAAACCAAGAACGAGACACATCTCCAGGGGTCTAAATCTTTCATGTCCACACCAACACATCATTCATATCATATCCCGGACATACAATTACAAAGAAATGCTGAAAAATAACCATCTCTAAGTACCCAAAATCTACATTACCTTCCTCTTCAGGGCCTTTAATGGCAAAAGAGTGCAGCTTTACGACTTGGTTGAAAGGAATATAGATGAGAAGTTGCTCATCAGCATCACTCTCCAAATTCAATCCATCATCTTCTCTGTACCCCTACACG